TCAATACAACTTCATACAATGGTCAAGCATGCTAAGAGGAAGTTCCGTGCACACGAACCATAACTCTATCTTCAGTAATGTCAGAGTTATTGCCCTTTGTTACTTTTCTTTGTCCGGAGCATAACTTAAAAACTACTGGTTAAAATTCAAAACAACTTAATACAATGGTCAAGCACAATAAGGGAAAGTGCAATGCACAAGACTCATAACTCTATCTAAAGTAATTACAGAGTTATTGTCCTTTGTACTTTGCCATTGCTTTCTTTTGTCCGGACCATAACCTGAAGACAAATGGTTCGAATTTAATATAACTTCATAAAATGGTCAAGCATATTGAACGGAAGTGCACAAGACTAATAACTTCATCTTGACTTTTTATAGAGTTATTGCCCTTTGTTACATTTCCTTGTCGGGTGCATAACTTGAAAACTCCTGACAACTTCATACAATGATCAAGTATATTTAGAGAAAGTGCAGTGCACAATAACCGTACCTCCATCTTGACTAATTATAAAGTTATTGTCCTTTGTTACTTTTCCTTGTCCGGAGCATAACCCCGAAAACTGTTTTTGTTGGAATTCAAAAACTTCTATTGTTCAACACATTAGGAGAAGGCAGTGCACAAAAAGCATAACCCAAATTTTTTACAAATTAGAGTTTTTGCCCCCTTTGAAAACTTTCCCCCTTGTCTTTGGGATATTTGAAAAGTACTGGTTGGAATTCAAACAACTTTTAAAAAATGGTCAAGCAAAATTTAGAGGAAAAGCGTGACAAAAACCATAACCTGTCCGGGAAAAAGGTTTTTGCCTTTTTTTACATTTTTTTCTGCTAACTTGAAAATCCTGACAAATTCATCAATGAATCAATTTTTAGAGAAAGTGCAGGCCCCTAAAAGTCTCCATCTTTTTAATTATAAAGTTTTTTTGCCCCTTTGTTACTTTTCCCCTTTTCCCGGAGCATAAACCTGAAAATGTTAGTTGGGGAATTCAAAAACAATTCATCTTGTCAGCACATTAGGAGAAAGTGCAAGTGTACAAAAGCCATAACTCCATTTTGACAAACTAGAGTTATTGCCCTTTGATACTTTCCCTTGTCTTGAATATATTTGAAAAGTACTGGTTGGAATTCAAAACAACTTCAAACAATGGTCAAGCAAATTGAGAGGAAATGTAGAGCACAAGAACCATAACTCTGTCCAGAGTAATTATTAAGTTTTTGCCCTTTGTAACTTTCCATTGTTTTTTTCTGATCCAGAGCATAACTTAAAAACTACTAGTTGGAATTGAATACAATTAAATACAATGGTCAAGTATAATTGAGAAAAAGTGCAGTGCACAAACCACTACAGTACTATTTCTAAACTTATTTAAGACTGTTGCCCTTTGTTACTTTTTATTATCCACTGTGCATAACTTGAACTTTAATGGCTGGAATTCAATGAAACTTCATACAATGGTCAAGGGCAGTGATATCAAGTGCAGTGCATAAGAACCATAACTCTTTTTCACTTTTTTGCCCAGTGCATAACTTGAAAACTAGCAGTTGGAATTCAATACAACTTCATACAATGGTCCAGCGCAATAGATGAAGTGCAGTGCTCTACAAGCTTAACTCTTTCTGGTTTTTATTACAGAGTATTTTAATAAAACTTCATAAATTGTCAACCACATTGAAAGAAAAAACAACATACACGAACCATAACTATTTTTAATTGCCCACAACCATAACTCTATTTCAATTATTTTACAAGGTATCTTGTTACTTGTAAAATCCTCATTTCCGAAGCAGTCTTGTGGATGTATGAATCTCACTTAGTGAAAGTTCTAGTTAGTGATGTTAACTATGCCAATATCTAAGACTATATAGTTTATGTTTGTGTAAAAATATTTATAGAAACCTGCTGCGTTTTAATTATATCACACGACCGTCCACCACATTTCCTTATTGGACACAGTAGTATCCAAAATTGGAACTTTGCCAAAGCAACAACTTAAGTATCAAATGGTTTCTGTATTAAGCATTTGAAAGGTCGCATTTAACTTTATGCATATTGATAACAACAAAATAAAGGCAAATGGGTTAACAGAGCCACAATTGTGTCAAGTTGAGAAACTTTTAACCTGCTGCGCTTGCTTGAAAAATAATTTGGAAACATAGCCATCGCTCGGAAGCATTAATCACAACAAAATTACATGAATTTTGCAGTCTCAGTTTGATTGAGTCTATACACAAAATTGATTATTTAAATTTAATCAAAGGATAATAATGTTAGACTAAGTTTAAAAATAGGCATAACTATATCAAAACAAAGGTTTGATACGATTATGTTTAACCCTGTATGTGTTTATCAAATTAACAGTCATTTTCTGTTCCGGTTTCTGATACATTTTGCTAAATATATCAATTTCAGAACATTTATGAACATGATAATGTAGTATGACAGCCACCTAACTTGAGTAAAAAATACTATAGAGTTGTAGAAATTGCACTTTTAGCTTGTATCATCCATATACAATGCTGCGGAAATGTCTAATTTGCAGTCGCAAATATAAATTTACGTATAATTATGTTAAAATCTAAGTTTCAAGTACACAATACATATTATTCTGTTTTCCAAGATGTTACTCTAAAATTTTAATGTTAATTTAAAGACGTTTTAAGGAACAAATGAGTCCAACTACACCAAAAGACACATTGAATACAGACTTATAAAACTTATATGCACCTACATCTTTGTTTTTACCTACGTATTGCACATTAATGCCGTGTGTTCAAAATGTAAAGGCTTATCTTATTATATTCTAATGTAAAGTGACTCTTATTCTTGTACTTTCTTTTCCATTCACAGTTCCCTTGCAAAATACAAAGTACTTCTGAAGGACGCAAATACTGGAAAGTTCCTAAGTCGTAAATTTAAAAGATCAAAGGTAATATATAGATTCATGATTTTATATGAAAATCAAAAGTTACAATCGTACCTTATTAGTTAGTCAATCAAATAAAAGGAAAATTCAAATACTATGCTTTTATTGATTAATATATTATATATTTTTTTTTTACATTTATTTTATCTCTAATGGAAGCATAGTGCTAACAATTTAGCACGTACATATCGGGCTATTTTTCTTCCTACTAAGAAGTTAGGTTTCATGTAAATAAGACAACATATCTTTGATATTTGATTTACTAAATATATTTTTATAAGATAGGTATATTGTGAACGACAAGAAACAAACTTGCTTAACTTCCACCCCCCCCCCCCCCAAAAAAAAACAGAAACAAAATAAAAACATTAAAAGTGGTCTGCTTGTAGAATACCTGAACTTATCTTGTTTTTTCCCTCGGATGGACTTTAACATATTGTTCAGTTACTAGATGAGACATGTTCTTAGCGATCGATGTTATTGTCCTTCGTATTAAGCGGTTATCAAAAGTTTGTTTTGTTTTTTAAAGATATACTATGCTCAAATTCTATTTTTAAAAGAAAAGATAATTGCTGTACAGTCTTGTTTGTATGAAATTAACATTTTTTAACCCTTTCGCTGCCAGAGGGTTATTGTTTTATTGATCACCTTTTTGCCAGAAGGTTTTCTAAGAAAATACTATATTATTAATTAATATAATAATTATTATTATTATTTGTTATTAGTATTATAATAATTATATATGTTTCCAAATATGCTAGTATAATACTAATTATTGTCGATGGTATAATTTTCTTTTATATTTATTATTATTTTTATTATTATTATTAATTTATTATTATTATTATTATTATTATTAGAAACGGCTAAAGCCGTCTATATGGCAAATACGCCGAAAATAACAGGGACGGCATAAGCCGTTCCTATGGCAGTGTAAAGGGTTAAACACGACACGACTATAGGAGGTCACAATATAAAATACAAAATAAAACTGGCACTTTTTTAAGAAAAGACATCTTTACTTGGCTCGTAATAGGCAATGCAGCTTCCTATACATAGTTTATTCACTCTTTCAATTCAAATTAACGTATTTATTAAGAATTTCATGGAGTTCAATACATTTCTTAGATAAAAGTATTTTACCCAAAGATGAACATAGTATATCTTTTATTAGATCAATTAACACTTACCATTTAGATAATGGTTTTGTATCATTATATGCATTACTAAGAAAAAGATGCAGCAGATTATGTTCATATAATGTGCTTAACTGTTAGTAAAATACATTATCATACTTTGCATTACAGGAGTTGGAGAAAAAGAACGTAAAAGTCATTTTATTAGAACTTGACATAATTATTCAGACAGAAGTTTTGTCAACCAATGACTTGAATGGTGGAAGCATTGATAATAAAAAGGAAACCAAGTGCATAGTAGTTGGATTAACAAGCAAGTATTTTTCGTATATTTCGTAATTTTTATCGTTTTCATGTTTAACAGTATTCATCTCTTGTTCTTAAATACAATTATGTAAATAAATAATAGAGCAATTTTGCAATTAAAGTATTTTTACAGGCTAGTGTCATATCCTTAATTAAATAAAATTAATAGATAAATTCATCCCTTCATCTATAAGAGGACAATTTTGACAAAAAGTCTTACTATTTTTCTTCCCATGCAATATTAAGTACATACCAAACATTAATAAAGAGAGCTTATTCAAAATGGAAAGTGGCACTTGATGTTAATGTGTCATTTTGTATTTAAATAATTATTTAGCAAGTTCTTAATAATAATTTATATAAGTTTGAAAGATTCATAAATCTATTTATTTGACAATGCGTGCATCTTGATATCATTAAAAAGGCAACGGAAATTCCCTGAATAAAGTAAATGTCAACCTAAAATCACCAAAGCAATGTTCTGGTCAAGCATGCAAGAAGAATTTACGCTTTCATACTGTAAATGGCGCAGATGTATGTCAGGTGTGTATGCTGACGTTGAAATTTGTTGTTTATTTGTTGTTATTTGTTTTTGTTGTTGTTGTTTTTTAATTGTTTATATTTATATAATGAAATGATAAAACTGTTTAAAGGTACTGATGTAATTTATACATTTTCTGACAAAAAGTTACAAATATTTCATCAAAGCAGCACAGTCATGTCAGCTTCTAGTTCTTCATTCCATATAAAGATTATGTATAATTTAAATTGTTTATCGGAGCATCAGTTACATTGTGAATTTTACAACTTCTTGAAAATTGACTGATTGGTATTTCAGAGTGATAACGGAGCGCCAGTCTTTTGCAAAATTGAAAGCAAATGGCTTTTTACAGGGGTGTCCGTTGTGAGGAAAGGGTGTCAAAAGAAGGATATTTTGATTCTTACACTATCACACGTTAGTCGGTCAATATCAAAGGTAAAATTTTCGTGATGTACTCGTATAATATATTTCAATTTAAATAACAGACTTTATTTTAACTCCTTACTGTATGCATTTTTAAGAATTCCTTATTATTTGTTTAAGTTTTCAAATACTCAATATAAACATGTGTTAAATGTAAATCAATTTCTAACATATTATTGCCATTTTAAAAAATATTATTTAAATATTGCAGGCTCTCAAAGAAGAACGTAAGTTTAATCTTCGTATTATTATTTGTTATTATGTGATCTAAATATAGCTGCAATCTCATTGGTCCAAAATATAGTCAACATAATTTTTTTTTTATAAAATCATATTCACTGGGTGTATTATCATATCCACTGGCTGAATTGGATATTCTCAGTCTAAAAATAGATTGAGACTCGTATTCAATGACCATACCCCGTAGACTATAATAACGCGTGCTTAAGTTGCGTTCTGTTCTTGATGGCATATTTCTCGATATAAATTAAATATTATTACTGTACTATAAAACTTAAAGGCTACACCACAATGATGAGTATAAACTTACTTTTGTATGCGTAGCGTTTGCATAGCCGTTGCTGCACGCCTAACACATGCGTCTTTTTTTCCCGCTCTTCAACAAGGCAAAAGTTGTACATGTATAAAAAGTTGTACTTCTTTTTATTTTTTAGCCTTTTCATATAATACAACAATTATAGACTAGTGAGTCATTGAATATGAAGTGCTATTCACCTGCAGAAAAACATATTGACATCAGCTATCGCCTCGGTCATTATGTCATCTGCCGGTGAATATCACATTTTATCATATGGCTCACTTGTGAATAAGTGTATAATACCCCAAATTACACGAACGTATATCGGACCTTATATAAAATAAATTTATTATAAGTACTGCTATTATCTGATACTACACTAGAAGTGACCTTGTAGTATTAAACCTGCATGTCTCCTGAAGAGTTAAAAAATATCCCCCCCCCCCCAAAAAAAAAAAAAATATATATATATAAATGATGAAAAATAAAGGAGAAATAGTAAGAAAACTGATTTTAAGGGTTATACGAATCGAGATTCAAGTAAACGGTAAAGGAACTGTTACACGGATGAAGTTCTTATAATAACTTGCAAGAATTCGTGTGATAACTGTTACGGTATCGCCAGAAAACTTTTGTAAATACTACAAAAACACTAGTCAAAAAAGGTAATTTTATTTTCAGAAAGTAAGTTCTAGGTTCTCAATAAAGCTTGCCTTACATCTTGTACTTTGTTTCAAAAACTAATTTGAAACTAGCTTGAATTCCTGAAGATAAACCCATCTCATTAAATTTAGATATAAGTAGTGCATAGACTAGTGTTTAAGTAGTACCTGTTGTGTCATGTCAGTGTGAAAGTAATATCCTGTGTGTCATGTTAGTGTGAAAGTAATGTCCTGCGTGTCATTATGTGCATGCATTTTCATTTTTGCTGCAAATTATTGGCTTCTGCAGAAAGATTGGATACGTACTCAATGTTCTGTATTAATGGTACGAATAATAAGTTGTTTTTTATCGCAAGCAAAGGCTCCTTAAAGATTTTCAATATAAAATACAAAATAAAAGGCAAATTGAATCATTAAAGTTTAATTAAGTACCTGAATCTTACTTGTTAAAGATGGAAATTACTAGTTTTGACGAGTGTTTACAAAAGTTTTCCGACGAATCCCGTGACAGTTATCACAAGAAGTTATCACAAGAAACCCATCCTTCGTGTAACAGTCCCCCACAACAAACCAGTGAAGTAATAATTTACATTTTTTGGTGCAAGTAATGACTGATTTTGCAGTATTTATCAGCATATTGGCCTTACTAAACAAACATTTCATACTAGTCTAATTGAATGACTGTCAATTTGTTTACTTACAATAAAGTCTTTCATCGTGGATTAAAGGACAGGTGTATTACATTTTGGTCCCACTTTTAACATGTTTATATATGATATGGACCGCCTAGATTATAACCTTAAGACAATGATTATTTACAATGCAAGCCAAGTAATTTTAAGAGATATATCAAGCCACAATGTTTTATATTGATACAATAATAATTTATTTTGTTCATTGCTCAAAACATCTATTTAATCTATAAAAATAAACAAATTATATTTCATACTGGTGTGCAGAGGAGACATGTGTAAATCAGGATTGTGTGCTTGCAGGTATTTGCTATTTCTTTGCTTCATACAGTTTTATCAGACTTTATCAGATTATTTCTGAATATCACCTCAGTTTTGGTATAAAATTTAATTATATAAAACTTGATATCAGTAATGCAGCCGATCTAATGATCAATTAATTACACAAAATATATGAAAATCATTTAAATATATACTAGTGTTTAATTATCGTTGCCATTTTGAAGCACATGGGCTTCTGTGAAGCATTTCTTTATATTTGCCTGATACCAACGTTATACAATTTAGGATTTTTGCAAAACAGTTACAGAACCTTTCATTTATTTGATTCTTGAATTGATCCTTTTGTAAAATACTGGTAGTATTCTTTTTATTAACAGCTGCACAGCTAATGAAATCAATAGATACAGATATTGATCCGTGCGATAATTTCTATAAGTTTGCCTGTGGCAAATATATCACAATGACCCCAATTCCAGTTCACCAACAGTTGCACACACCTTCAGCTGATATACAAGAAGATATACGAATGATTATAAAATGCAAGTATCAATTACATAGCGTTGTCTTTGATCATTATTACATGCATTTATCTACAAAACGTACTAGCATTTGTAGTTTCAGTCGACGAGTTTTTCTGTTATACCAAGCAAATCAACATGTTCACGCGATTGGTTTATATTAAATGTTTATTTTATGAAAATACTAATAAACTTACACAGTATTTTTTAACTTTACATCATCAGCTTAAATTAAAAAAAATAATCAACTGATTCGTTTTAAGCTCACCTGAGCTTGCTCATGGTGAGCTTTTAGGATCGGTGAATGTACGTCGTCCGTCGTACGTCCACAATTGCTTGTGAACACTCTAGCGGTCGCATTTTTGCCTCAAACAGCATCAAACTTAGTCAGGATGCTTATCTAGTTGAAAGCTCGGATGAGTTCGAACATGGCTCATCTCGGATGAAAAACTAGGTCAAAAGAGCTAAAAATAGAAAAACCTTGTGAACACTCTAGAGGTCACATTTTTGACCAAGTCATCATCAAACTTGGTCAGAATGTTTGTCTAGGTGATAGCTCGGATGAGTTTGAACATGGGTCATCTCGGATGAAAAAGTAGGTCTAAGGAGCTATAAATAGAAAAACCTTGTGAACACCCTAGTGGTCACATTTTTGAACCAATCATTATCAAACTTGTTCAGAATGCTTGTCTAGTCAATTGCTTGGATAAGTTTGAACATGGGTTATCTCTGATGAAAAACTAGGTCACAGGAGTTAAAAATAGAAAAACCTTGTAAACACTCTAGCGGTCACATTTTTGCATGAATCATCATCAAACTTGGTCAAGATGCTTGTCTAGGTGCTAGCTCGAATGAGTTCGAACATGGGTTATATCGGATGAAAAAGTAGGTCACCGGAGCTAAAAACAGAAAAACCTTGTTAACACTCTAGCGGTCACATTTTTGCATCAGTCATCATCAAACTTTGTCAAGATGTTTGTCTAGGTGATAGCTCGGATGAGTTTGAACATGGGTCATCTCGGATGAAAAAGTAGGTCACCGCAGCAATAAATAGAAAAACCTTGTTATCACTCTAGCGGTCACATTTTTGCATCAATCATCATCAAACTTGATCAAGATGCTTGTCTAGTTAATATATCGGATGAGTTCGAACATGGGTCATCTCGGATGAAAAACTAGGTCACAGGAGCTAAAAAATAGAAAAAACCTTGTTAACACTCTAGTGGTCACAATTTTGACTCAATTATCATCAAACTTGGTCAGGATGCTTGTATAGGTAATTGCTTGGATGAGTTCGAAATCGGATGTTAAACTAGGTCACCGGAGCTAAAAATAGAAAAATCTTGTTAACACTCTAGTTGCTACTGTTTTGATCCAAGTATCCTGGAAATTGGTCTGAAAGTTTGTTTTGATGATTTCAAGGTCAAGTTTGAATATGTGTCACCTGGGTAAAAAACTAGGTCACACTGCTCAAATATGGATAATCCTTGTTAACACTGTAGTGGTCACATTTTTGACTCACCTGTTATGAGACTTGGTCAGAATGTTTGTCTAGGTAATTGTTTGGATGAGTTTGATAAGTCAAGTAAGCGATCTAGGGCACTCATGGCCCTCTTGTTTAAAGATTGTTCCCTCTGTCGACACTTTCAATAATTTTGATAATGTAACAATGAGAAAGTTTATCAAGACAATATATACATTTAATGGAAACAAAACAGTATTTTACTGTTTGTAAAATAATATTCGTTTTCAAGAATAATTTCAATAACAAGATCAAGGTATTTATTCTGGTAAACAGAGTTGAGAACGATCGTGGTGTTATTATAGTTGCTTAACTTAGACTTGTGATAAAATTTTTATATAATTATAGAACTTAAACTTATTGATTTTTTTCCTATTTTTCAGTTAACGTTTCCCAAACATCTGGGTTAAGTATCTGAAATTTCGTCGATGCAGAACACATATTATCTGTGATATAAGAAAATGATATATTCATTAAGTTGTTAAAGATATGATATGCTTGTAGGTACATGTAAAACTGTTTCATGCAATGCAAAATTTAGGATTGTAACCCCGTTATGAACATTTTCGATGGAATGACTGTTGTAACAGGTCGTCTTGTTATCAAATTATTGATAAATTTACATAAAATTTACTTATTTGCATAGTCATGTCAAACCATTTATTCAGAAAATTTGAATGTTACATTGAAGATGAATTAGAAGAGCCGAATAAACCAAGTGAAATTGAAGCTGTAACCAAAGCGAAGGGATTTTACGAAGCCTGCATGAACTCAGGTATGTGTTAAATAGAAGAAGTAACTTTAATGAAATTGTAATTGTGGAAATTGCATATTTAAGCTCAATAAGTTGTTTTAAACTATTTCAATCGAATTTCCAATAGTTTTTAATTTTGTTCAAAACCAACTTAAAATGGCTTGGACATATAGAATTTTCAGTTTCCGTTCATGATCACTCCAACGGTAGTACACATTTAACTTAAATTATACATATGGATACGTCAAATAAATGCGCGGTTCAAATTTCTAATTTTGTCATGATTCGATGATTTTTGACAGAAATACCCCATTTCTTTTAGAAAGAAAGACATTTTTGAGTTTGCATTAATTATCTCCCTAACAGTTATACAGATTTCACTCAAATTTGATATGTGGGAACGTCAAAGAAACACACTGGTCAAGTTCATATTTAGTCACAGAATGAAATAAAAAGTGTGTGCGGACAAATTTGGACTAAATATTGTTATATCTTTTGAAATTTTGGCTCCATACTAGGAAATCCGTGGCGTGACGACGCATTTCTCATATATAAAATAAATATATAATGTGTGATCTAACATCATAGGAAAAGCGTATTTAACTTATTTCTTACCAATACGCAACTTATAGTCATATTTGAAATAACCCAGAACCTTTCCTCTTTATTGTTTCAATATAAGGCCAAGTAATTTATATTCAAATGATTTACGTTCAAAAGTCAAGCTACTGAATTTTTTTATTAACACTTATCTTCATCATAATTAGATGATCGTGTTCAATACTTCTTCGTCTATGACAATGTTGTTTTTGTCTTTCTTTTTTTATGTTTGTTCTTTTGTGTATGTGTGTATTTGTTTGTTGTTTTTAATTTCTTCATACTTTCCTGAACCTTGTGCAAACAGATAACCGGAACATTTTATGTATAATTTTCAGAGGCAATTGAAAGAGAGGGAAATGTTCCCTTGCATAAACTAATGGAAGACTTAGGAGGACTTCCAGTGTTGGGATCGGCATCAGGTGGAAAATGGAATCAAAATGCTTACTCTTTTGAAGATCTCATCGTCAAGTCTTTTCAAGTGACAGATTCCGTACCGATATTTTATATTCATTTAGATGATGTTAATTTGGTCGGCCAAGAAAAATACCGGCTAAACGTAAGACTTTTACTGTAGTGTTTACTTGTTAACGGCTAGTCATTATTTATGCGTTGGCAATCAATCATTAAAAACTTTAACTCTGATCATTTCCGTTATTTCATTAGATAATGCAAAAGTTATCCAAACAAACGATTAACACACGCAACATTATATATGTTTTTATAACTTTTGCAGTATTTAAAAAAGAACTCATTTTATAACATTGCAATAAAGCCTACAGACTTAGGTACTCTATTGAATAAATGGGGGTTCCATTGATTGAAACAATAAAGGGGTTGTCCATGGCCGATTGGTAAAAGTTGCATAACATATCTTAGAAAATTATGTCTATAAAAAGAGGCTAAAACAGAACATATATAGGTAATCCGGTTTAAAACTGGCATTGATATAGACGTTCTAATTGCACCAGGCTGTCCAACACGCTACATGTTCAGGGGTGTGATAATCGGGTTGTCTATATCTGTGCCAAGTGGAACATAATAACCGTTAGGTCACATATATCTTGTGAAAACTGCAATTTTAACCTCTATGCATATTTAATTTTTTTAAAGAAATATGTTCTGTTTTAGACCCATTTTGTGTGAGAGAGTATTAAGAAACTGTATCAGTCTTGGCGGTATTGATAACACCGGTTTTGAGTTTTGATGCGTAAAAATTGACCACGAATACCGTTGGCCGTAAAACATGTATTGACAAAATCACGAGGAGAGTTAGACTAGATTTTTCAAAATTATAATTTCTCAAATAGGTATTCGTCGTTATCGTTGTTATTACTGGTTTTAAAGTGTCCGCATGTTTAGGCTTAACAATTCAACAATAACACTACGAATAACGTCGGTTATGAATGACATTAAATCTTGCTAAAAAGCCCGCGAAGAACCGACGTCATTAGCATAAACCAACTACAACCAGGATGCAATTTGAACCGTTGGAAAAGTGCCGTCAGTCCCGTACCGTATTTGTACGGAAAACAATCAAACACTACATTTTCTTTATTGTCCGTTTTTTTTTTTTTCATTTGAAGTATTGTTTATCACAAATGTACATTAATTATTATTTTGTTCTCATGTACTGACTAGTTTGATCAACCGACTCTTAATCTACCACGACAACTATATCTTCAAGGAAAGGAACAGCCGGCTTTAATTGCGCTCAAAACGTATTACCAAGAGCTATTTCAAGCGTTTGGGGCAAATGCATCCGCAGCCGAGGAATTCGCTGAAAAGACCTTAGATCTTGAAATTGACCTTGCAAACGTAAGTTAACATTATAAATGAAAAGACGAATTTATATAACAGTAACGTATTTAATAATAAACATCTATACTGAGGTCAGTAACTTATTGTTATCAATTGTTTATCATTGCATTGCATTTCAACATGATTGAGTTTGTCTGTTAATTAATCGTCAACAGCGCAAGAATCAATACATTGTAAATGATATGAAAATTTAAGTTTTTCTAATTTTATAATGCCAGAACGTGTGTATTAGACGCCAATTAAAATTTATTTTAAGCGGAATAATTTTACATGCACTTGTTTTAATTGAACTGAATTATTTCAAAAGTGTACTTCATATTCGCATCAATGACATGTAACTGAAAAATTCAGAGAAGTGGTGTCAGTACCACTGTTGTACAACGTCCATCGGATATAGCCCCTCAAAACTCCGAAAACGAAAGTTTACGTCGAGTTCACCGGTCGACTTTGAATTGAAACACTTGAAAAAAGTTGCGTTAAACGATTTTTATTTGACAGACTATTCAGTGGCGTAACTACTATTAGGCCGTGTAGGCCCGGGCCAAGTTGGTCAAGAAATTGTAAAGTCCCCAATAACCAATAAAACAGGCGTAGGTAGGATTGGTATTGTGTTCATGCCGTTTGGTCGGATCAAGTGCATGATTTACCGCCCTCAGTTTCCATCTAATCAAATTCATAGTTTGAAATCATTGTTTTGTTTATATTCCTTGAAAATACTTTTGAACGCGCATTTGCTCTTTTTAATCTGAACATGTTTTTGGCCCAGACCCTTTTTATGGGCCTACAAGTTGAAAAAAAGCTGACTACATCCCTTCCATGAAACAATTTTATTCAATGTTTACGATAAAACATTTGTATACTTCCACGATGTTGCGTGACCTAACTACATAGTTACACTAGGTCAACTATTATCTTACAGGTAAAGGCCCATGATAATTTTGCAAAAACAATTGGCCCAACCCTTTTGTATATTGTGTAATTATGTTGATGTTACAGTAAAAGAATTGATGAATGGTATTATATATGCAATAAAATATTATCAAACTTACTGTTCACACTGCATAACTTGAACATGATTTGATATTGTTTAAGAAAATTATTAGAATTCCACTGTAAAGTTCTACCAATCTATAATGATTTAGTTAACTGACTTATTTTTCCTCAAAATCACGCATAAAAAGTTGTCTAGCTTATGATAGAAACTGGTTACTACCATTGATATTCATGCTACGTATAATGTTTCTTATCTAATTTATTTTTTTCATTCTTTTTAAAATGATAAAAGGTTTCACTTTCCGATCCTTACCCCCGGAATCGATCGTCATTTCTTCATCAGCGTACGTGTGTGCTCTGGTACTTTATTTAGTTTATTTTTTTTTCTAAAAAATAAAGCAGTCGTATACCTACTACATCCCGTACACTTGCTTACAGTTTTCCATCTACATCCCGTACAAAAACGTGCTAGACTCTGTACACTAGGCAATGTCTTTTTTCGAAAAGTTTGTTAAAAGCAGCTCGATTCGATGGATGACCACTCAAACAGAAGTAGAAGGAAGTCTAAATTTTATATTAGATATATACTTTGATACAACAAATGCCTTTTGGACCTGATTTTCAGGTCAATATCAAAATCTCTCTCAAATGTCAACAAAAACGGCACAATTTATCGCCGATTTAACAAGAAGTATTCAATTTGCAGAAAAAAGCAAATACTTCCCTAAACCCTGACATATCTAGCTCCACAAAATTGTTTAGTTTGGAAAAAATCGATGGGTTTATGATGGAGTAATAAATTGGAACATTACCTTGGGTGAACTCGACGTAAACCTTTTTACTACGAAAGCAAAAATTTTTGTAATGATTATTTTAATAATATGTCTTCATTCAAAGGATATGTATCATATATTTTATGTAAGAGGTCCAATGCATACGCAAATGTTATATTTAGTAACCTTTTTCAAAATATTTAGCTATCCACTTTCTTCATATTTCTTTTGCAAAACAGTTCTATATTTATCCTCATATAACATGACACGTATGTTTCATTTTATTCAAAAACAAGTAAAGGTTAAAAAGATAAAAAAAAAATTTCTTTTGTAAAATAATTTATATTTTTGGATATTATTTTTAAATTAATATAATTATAAATAGAAATAATACGGCAAGTAAGCTCTTTGCAGAAACGAATTAGTTGTTGTTGAAAACTTCAACAGCTTGTTATAACTTTTTAACATTTCTGCTAGTACATCAACATATTATGAAAATATCTTTCCTTTGCAAACCACTTTTGTATCGTCTTACATCTAATACAAGGTAACCGTTACTAATATGCATGCTAATCCCAACTTTATCTTTAATTTTCAAAAAAAAAAAAAAAAAAAATGAATTGTAAATTGGGGTAACATATGTTTCACACTGGCTTATTTATGAAATATAATACATGATTAAAATTTACTTGTAAAATCAACTCTTTTATTTAGGAATCAAATGTCCATCATTCTATTGTCAAAAAAGGCGATTTAATGTTTTTGTATTTGCATGATTGTGTAAACAATATCAAGTGTGTTTGATAAAAGTTACGTCTGTTTCACTTTGGTTACTAAAACAAGTTAAAACTCGATAAAAGTTAACAAAATTTACTTACATATGTAAAATTAAAGTTGATTTTGCTCTTCCTTTCTGACTTGAATTTTCCTTTTGATAAAATTACTTGGTAACGTATGTTTCTGTGACGAATGTTTCAATTTTACATTAAAAGTTGGTTGAAAAATAAAGCAAGAGCGTATAATCCGCCATAATTTCTGGTTAATTAATCAAATTACACACATGTTTACTTTCTTTCTTTTTTGGAGTCTTCCTTAAGTAGGTTAACTCTAAAACATTGGTAAGGTATGTTTCTTTTTAAAATGCTGTTGAAAAAAGATTTGAATTAAAAATAAAAATTTACAAAAAACAGAATTATATTTGAGAGTCTGTCGGCTTAATTTTGCTTCTAATAATACATATGCTGTAATTTTAAGCATGCATTGTTTCAGTTATGTAATTTCTGTTTCGCTTCTAATTGTTTTAAATTAATTACTATTCATTTGTATGAATTTGGCGACATTTTATCATCCCTGATGTCAATGAGGTTTTAACGATCAAATATATTTTCTACTTATAACAAAAAATCATATGTATGCAGCTATGACTAATTGCACATGTTTCGTTTATTCTGGAACTTACTATTCTGAAACACAATTTCAAAGATGAAAATTCTAGGTGGAGACAATAACTAATGTTACATTTTAGGGCTTTAATTGTACTTATAAAAAACAAATACGAGATAAAAATGTCAAACTGAGAGAGTCCCTATTAGACAAAATTGCAACCACCTTTCTGTAAGCATTTTGACCTCAAGAAAAACCTTGTATTGAGAATTAGCTTTGCATGAAACTTCCGTACAAACCAGAGCAGAGGTAGAGTGCGAATGACCATAACAAGGATGATCACTCATCAATGAAAGTGACATGCACCATATGGGAAACGAACCCGAGTCGCCCAATTCACAGTACAACGCTTTACCTATTGAGCTTACCAGACGGTTTACAAGTGCAGGTAAAGCCTCCATGGTCGAGGGATTAGAGTCGTTGACTTCTAATCCAGTTACCTCTCTGGCGTGGGTTAATCCCCGGGAGATGATTTGGTAGTTTAGCAAGGAGGAAGGTAGTCTAGTACTGGTGTAACTCTCTAGGAACGATGGTTAGGAAACAACCCGCCTATATGACTGAAATACTGTTGGGAAAAGGGGTAGAAATGAAACAAACAAACAAACAAAAAATACAAGTGCAGAGTGTTGGAAAGTAGCTAATAATATATGTTTATTTCATACAAAAACTTTCAGATAAGTTCGGACACTCCGTATAAATCGTCGGTTATAAAAATTGTTCCCGTCAGTATCCTTCAGGAACTTGGAGCAACGGTAGGAATATTTTGTTTTGCAATAAGCTATATTTATAAATAACCTGAACATACTTTTTGCAATTTTTATTCAGCTCGTGTACTCTTATTGTATTTATCTTTTTTTAAAGAAGTGGTATAATGTACAACTCATGTGATGTTTATATTTTTTTGAAATTAAGTTAAACGAGATTGTGAAGGTCTAGTGGTTGCTTCTAAGCTCCGTAAGGGAGATAGTTCATCAAGTATAATTTTACTGATCATGATATACATAACTTCTTTTGTATAGTCACATACTATCCCGTCTTAATTTTATTGCTTACATTGAGAAATTGGTCAGTGTTTTATAACTTCCTTCTACTCCCATTTTGTCAACCTGTTCAGGAGTTGTTTTTGTAAAAGATTTTCAGACTCGGATTTTTTTTTATTTTAAGTAAAACATTTAAATATGTCAACTTTTCATGTCGTTTACAAATAAAGTGCGCTTTTTGTCCGTTGTGTGTTGAATCTTCGAAGAAATTCAATATATGTTGTATTGTTGTGAGAATTTTTCTTTCACAAGAACGGAACACAGTTTTGGGGGCGCAAGCCCCCAGTGTAATGACGATAAATTCAGCTTACTATGGTTTGAACGCATTTAGGCTATCTGCGTGGAGCAAGAATAGTTCCAATATTTTGCTTTAATATTCATATAATCATAAAACCTTATCTATTCCAAAATTGACTGGTCATTTTATTACTAAATTTTTATTCCTTTTATCACAAAATTACATATATCATTGCTTTACGCGATTTGAATATTACTACGCCAGCAGCCGATAAAAATTTAAAGAGAACCAGTTTATTTTTTCTACCTTCTGGTTCCTGATACATGAAAGCAAGAATACGTACATAAATTCAGTGCCATTTTTTTTCAAATCATAAGTTAAACTACCAGAGAGCACAATAATTCAGGATAAAATTTAATACGATTTTCAAATTAGATAACTTTAAGCTTAAAATGCTTAAAAAGTGTGAATGTCAGCGAAATAAATGTATGCGTATGAATAGGGACTATTTTCTTTATGACGTCATTTCCACCGCAATCGCCATCTTGGCCAGTTATTCCGAGAAAGTGTGAGAAGATTTGCTATCGATTAGGAAGTCCTAGATGTTTAATAGAGTTGTAAGTTTTATTAATATACGAACACTTAATCTCCTGTATACATAAATGTTTAGTAACTTCGTTGATTTTTCTTGCATTTATCAATAGATCTAGCAAAATCGTCAGGACAACGACCTATATTTGGCTGTTAAGTGTTTACAGCAGGTCAAGATGTTTGTTTATATTTTATTATGTTGATTTTTAGGTGCAATCTATTCCGTATGTAGAATCAAGGTTTCTTCCCAATCTGGTAAAGCTGTTGATATATTTCGCTTGATATTACGATTATTAGTGATGCAATTTTAGTGCATTATATCGATTCAGTGTCAGCTCGGCCCAAAAACGTACTCGGGGCCCCGAGTCGGCTCGGCCCTTTTCTAACTCGGTCCACTTTTCAATTATTGATATATTGGTTTGTTTTCTCACTCTTTATTGTTGAAACCACATAATTAAGTGAACTGATTAATATCTGGATTATTCATAAATATGGAAAGATATTTTCTTAAATTATTATTATATTTTTGGGGATGCTTATCTACCTTTTGAACACATCTCTATTAGCTATCTAAGCCGGACAAGATAGGTCCAAAACTTTGCCATCGTATACTGTACAGGATAGTTTTCTATTTTGTGATCATGATTTTTGCAAGTGACTGGAGGTATTGCCCAAGTCCTGTTATGAATTAAATCCTATCAAAAAGAGTCAAAGAACGTGCATAATTTAGAACCAACATTATTTAGTCATACGTGAACTGACTATCATAAAACGCAACAACTAACGAAATATTGCAATATCTTGGTTGTTTTTTTTCAAATTGATAAGCTTTGAAATGCTTCAAAAGTGCGTATATATTGTAAGAACTTTGTATAATGCGAATTAAATATGAAAACATACTATTTTCTAATGTACGTAATTTTCCCGTATTTGTGTATTCACCATGTCGACAATGTAAGCAGGTAAACATTGCAAAACTTTGTTCACTGTTGAATACGACTATTTAAATTTCACTTTACCTTGAAAAATAATGAAATTTGGTATAACAATTACTTTATCCCTTAGTATTTCCCTTTAGTGATTAATAATGCATAAAATAGAGTGAAAGAAGTCCGTTTCAACAGACTCGGCACTTGTCTAACTCGTCCCAAAATTTTAGAGGACTGGAAATAATTACAATTGTTATACAATATGACTAAAGTTCAGATCTACTTGTTTCATACATGTAGATTTGATCTTCATGAGATGTAGGATTTCATGATATTTATGGTCAGTACATAATTTTATAGATTTTTTATTTGTAAAGTAATAGACATTTATATGAAAATAGTAGGTAAAGTAATAGACATTTATATGAAAATAGTAGTTGTATTAAATTCAAAACCACAGGTCAAAATAATAAGATTACTGATTATATTATTCAATATAACAGTATGTTATATTCAGAATAATTTGATGACTATCAATTTTCACTTTAAACAAAAATTTAAAAGTATTCATACGGGGATGAATCTTACCTAATTACCTTTGTTAATACAAACATTGAATCAATAAAAACAACTTGTCTTAAGCAGCGGAATTATATATATTTCATATTTATTTTAGTCATCATTACATTTATTGTCTAACATCTATATGATTATTATACTTATAGTATTCATAATTTTTGTTGATTGAAGTATGTGAGTTGATAGAGGAAGGAATAATTTACAATTGCAGCGGCTAGCAGTATAAACTAGTATTGTTTGACAAAAGTGCTGGCTGTACGGGAGTCACATACGACAAGCATATACTTGCTGTTGAGGCTAGCAGTACAGCATTTTAAAAATGAGTTGCCTAAAATAATTATTCGCAAGCTTGTTTTTCTAAAAGAAGATGTTATTGAATATCATATAAAATTTACAGTTGGTATATTAATTTTAGTGTTTGATGATCAGAAGATTGTTTTCCTTCTGAAAATCATGGCGTGAAAACGCAAAGAGCAATAGACTGAAAATGAATAAGTCATTTTTATGGATAATATTGATGTAAAACATTTGTTATCAAAAATGTGGGCCAATTTCCAGCTGTAGTTGGATTATGACAAAGTATTTTTAATAATTTAACTTTTGGCTACTTGCAATTTCATGCCGGATGTTTGATTACCGTTACATTTTACATGAGAGCTCTATAATTGACATTAAAGTCCACGGGCCAATTCATTTCTGATAGATCTTTCGTATATCTCGTTAATATAATATAAATTATGGCTGACCATCATCATAGAATTATTAAGAAACAATATAAATTTTATATGTTAATTCTTTGTAAAAATGTAAGAAGACTTGCAAGTTACTGACCACATCATTACATTTATTCATTTTTGAAAAAATACAGAACGGCTAGGCACAACAGTGCGTATAGGGTAGACGTACCAAAATATATTATTACAGTCATGACGACTTTTCCATTGCTGTCAAAATACTCTAACCTTGTTCATAACTTTTTCAGATCTTAGTGTATTGTCCTCATACTTGGTCACAACAACCCTTAAAGTAGACCAGACTAAACTTGACCTTCATGTTAACATTCAAGGTAAAATGTCTAAATTGTGCTTGATTTTTGCTATTAGTGGCTATAATTCTGTTATTTTTGAATTAATGTCTCCAAACTTGAACACAACAGTCTTTAAGGATAGGACCTGATTCACTCATAAATGTCCTTGAAGCTTTTGTGATCAGAAAATGTACAGAATGATACAAACCCAGAACAATTTCATTTACTTGGTTTTGCAACTTCTGAGAAATGGATGTAAAAGATAATTGTTTTCTTAAAAGTTCAGGACAGTATAGAAGATTGTAAAGACATATAATACAAACTGTTTATACACTATAATTACTATACTAGACCTGTCCTAAGACTTGGCAAATTGAATTGCTATTTTATTATATCATAGATTTGGTTCAAAAATCTTTGTACTTGGGCAATTTTGAACAAATTGTTTCTTAAATTATCTAGTATTTGATATGAACTAAAATAATTATTGGGATACATCTCATGATAATTATATTTCATCTTTCCAACTTTCTGTTTCAGAAGGTAGGCCTACATGTCGGATATGTGAGTGTGAAGGGCAGGATATAGATTTTAAGGATGATTTAGGGTCAATGAGGACGGAATCAAGAGAGATAAAGGCTAAAATGTTAGACTGTCAATCTGACTTACCTTTAAGTGAATAAATGGAAAAATGTTTCTTGCAACAGCATGGGCATTTAAGAAAGATGTACATTATTATTTAGAAGTATTGGTATATGATATTTCTTAATAATTATATTCTTAATAATTATATTCTAATAGCTTTTTTATTCTTGACTTGTTTATCTATAGTTTATCAGAATCACTAACATTTATAAATTTAAATAATTTTGTAAACATTGCTGCTTAGCAAATAGATAAAATTACTTGGGGTGTCTGTGGCAGATCGGTTTAGTTCCTTGACATTAAACCAACTGCCTTTCACTGCTTGAGGTTTGAGCTCTGCGAAGGTTTATGGATTCTTTCATGTGAGAAAACTATCAAGCTCATTTATGGAACATTGATGGTTGTACACGGGTGCTGTTAAGTGCTTGAAATCATACAACATAGGGGCATCCGAGGTCTTCCTCGACCAGTCAAGCTGGAAATTGGGCATATAACCTGTGCTTTAAAGTGCACCGCCCACCCCCGCACCCCTTCGGAAAAAAATGAAATTTTAATTCTGCAATTCACTTTTCAGGAAACAGGGGCGCTTGCATGATATAACAGTAATAGCAGGAATGATGAGGAGAGATAGATGTGACTTAATGTCGGAAACAGTAGAGAAATCGAAAAACCGGTATTTGGGTTTTTCAAAACTGAAAAGAAATTGGAATACCAGGGGACTGCCTGTCCTTTGCAATAGTGAATAATAGGATAATGAGTTCTTAGATGTGATGTCGAAAGCCTCATGAATGTAGTACATTGATTT